GATAGCAGCATTTCCCGACTGTATTATTAGTTGCTAAAATCTATAAGATACCTTTTTTGCCTCATTCACAGTTGATGTGTCGTGAAGGCGGGTCGACCCTGTATGCGGCTAGCGTCTATCAACTAGCGCTAGGCTCCTACTTCGTTTCTATGAACGGGTACTACTGGAAGTTCCGATCATGCATTTGGTACTAGGGATGTACACTTGGTTGTCTTATGTTTGTCCTACGTACACTACACTGTCCGAAGCTAGGCTGGCGTTGACTCAACCGAGAACTACACTCATGTCGTATCTGTGCAGTCCTTGATTACCGCCCACAACAGTACCTTGTTCGCAGTTTCGCGAATTTTAAGTCACTTTACTGCTCTAGTACCTTTTTGAGCCCTCATTCAAAATCCATTGGCTTCTTTCCCCTCACGGTCATGATCGTCCGAACAACGCCATTCCGACGGAAATTACAGATATTGCCCACTCAACCAAGATACACATCCAGGCCTTCTCGCCGTCTCTTTGGTGTAACATCTCCGTTGCGAATTGGTGTACGGAGCCTCGAGGATGACAACGAAGAATTGTTCAAATATACCTCCGGAAGATGGATGTAAGATTCCACAAGATGAAGTATACATAACACCAGATTATGCTAATTTCATCACCAAGATATAACGAGAGTATTCGTTTGGCTGAGAGGCGACTCCCATTCAATGTCGATGAGCTCAAGCGAGCTGCAGCACGCTCAATCAACAAGCCTGAGTCAGAAGTTCAGAGCCTTCGCAAGTTGGCGGAAGGCGGTTTCAATCGGATCTTTGAAGTAGCTATGAGAGATGGGACGTCTGTTCTCGCTCGACTGCCTTATCCCTCCACATTGCCCCGTCGCTGGGCTATTGCTAGTGAAGTTGCGACCATGGACTTTGTTCGCGCACATAGCATTCCAACCCCACGAATTCTTGGATACGCATTTGATGAGAATCCTATCGGCTCGGAGTATATCTTAATGGAAAAGATACCTGGACGACCAATTGGGGATGCTTGGTTTGATCTATCCGATCAGCAAAGGCTCCAAGTGCTGCACGACATTGTCGAGCTCGAATCTAAGTTGTTCAGCATCCAATTACCCGCTAGTGGAAGTATATACTATGCTCAAGACCTAGAAGCAAGTACGCCGATGGTGAGAATACCTGGAATGAACGAAAAGTTCTGCGTGGGCCCATATACTGGGCTTCGTTGGTGGTACGGCAAGCGAGGGAATCCTGAACTCGATCGAGGGCCACGTAAGTTCTAGCATCGAATTTCTCTTCAATACACTCACCTTCCTTAGATGTTGACGCCCTCCGCGCCCTGCAAGCTCCAGCTGAGAAAGAGTTAGCCTGGTTACGTGAGTATGGACAACCTCGATATCCATTCCACCGACAACACAGAGAAGCCTTTCAATACGAGAAGCAGGATCCAAATATTCACGCTGAATCTCTCAAAAAATACTTGCACGTGGCTCCATACCTCGTGCCCATAAACAAGGAGCTCCACTCTCCTGTCCTTCGTCATCCTGACATCCAGCCAAACAACATATTTACATCCGAAGATTACAAAGTGACTGGTCTTATCGACTGACAGCATGCCATCATCTTGCCAAAATTCCTTGCCGCCGGTATACCAAACTCGCTTCAGAATTATGGCGACCCGGAATCGAAATTCTTCACGCCCCCACAACCCCCGGCTCAACTTGACTCTCTCGATGAATCGGATCGATTCCAGGCTCAGGATGAATTCCGCCGTAGACATATACATTTCTTCTACCTAGGGTTCACTCAACGTCTGAATCAGCGACATTGGCAAGCACTTGAAGAAGAGACAGACATACTCAAGCGCCGGCTGTTTGATCATGCCGGTGAGCCATGGGAAGGCCTCAACACACCTCTCCAATACGATCTCGTTCAAGTCTCACAAGCTTGGAGTAAAGTCGTCTCTTCTTCAGGTTATAATGGTAACACACATTCATGTCCTGTGTCTTTTACACAGGAAGAAGCAGAACAAATTGATGCCCTCGATGACTCGCATCGCGACGCCGACGCCGACGTGGGAACCATCAACGCCATGCTTGGTATAGGATCTGATGGATGGACGACAAATGAGCGGTTTGAGAGCGCAAGAATGAAAGCAGCTGAAATCCGGGAACAGGCACTTGCTTCGGTGGACGATGAACCTTGGTTGAGGGAGATGTCTGAGCGGCATTGGCCTTTTGACGATTACGATGAGGACGAATGAGAGGGAGCTACTGATTACGGAATATCCTTGATGTCTTGCCACTGCATTTTTACTCTAAGGTGTAATGAATGTGCAAATATTTTGCTAGAGGCTGTGGTTTACGTTGTCTAGTATTACTGCATAATATGATGATTGTATTGCAATAATGCTGTTGAAAGATGTCCAGCGGGAGCAACAGGGCATATAGTGATGCTTAATTAACTGCGTTGATCAATTGTTTATGATGCATCAAGTTTACCAGGGAAATTTGCTCATGCAAGACGGTACGTGACTGCAATAAGATATTAGGGTATATTATTAATAGGTACCCGTATCTGTCACATACGACCATAGGACACTGAAAACTAGGCTTCCCGTCCGCTCAGCCATATATAAGCAGTGTACCGGCGGATTAGTAGTTAGGTGGGTGACCACTAGCGAATCCCCGCTGTTGTATGTTTTTGCCTTTTCTCTTGCCCCAACAAGAAAAAAGAAAGAGGAAACATCTATGTATCCTGAAGGCATGATTTTTATTCATTATCGTTGTTAATCATACAAGCTGCCGAACATACAGGGTCTCTGATTCCTATCACCCCACTAGACAACCGCATTATTCAACTCCCCAAGCACTACCTACCCACTACTCTTACCTAACCGCGCATCTTCTAGCGCTTCCACCCTTTTCTTCACATCCTTCGTATACGAATCAAACAACCCAAAAACCTTCTTCCTCCCCACCCCCACCAACCCCTCTCCCAAAACCCAACTCATTATTCCCGTAAATTCCTCTCCATGGCAAAATCTACACCCCTGCCCCCCCTCCAACTCCTCAAACCTAAAGTAATGCTGACCCTTGATCGTTCCACCTAACAGTACTCCACTCCATCGCAGTTCAGTAGGTGTGTTGAGTATAACAGTAGCCACGAGGGGATCTCCGGTGACTGTGACGTTGAGAATGTCGCCGGGTTGCAGGTCGTATGGGGTGAGATCTGGGGATTTGGGGAGGATGGAGTTTATGAATGTGGTGTGCCATTTTGGGTAGGAGGGGAAGTCTAGAACCTGTATGTGTGAGAAGTTAATTTTGGGGGTTTTTTTTTTCATTCTTGTTGCGATAGGTGAGGATGGGGGGAGGAAGGAGACAGGGATTGGCGTACAACTGCGCGGACTGCGGATGCTGGAGCGTTGATTACGATTTCTGTGCGGACTTCGGGCATGGTGGGAGGGTTGAGTGTTGTAAATCTTGGTATAGTAGATGGCTTTGTGTGTGGTATTGAGGGTCCCCGAGGGTTAGCTGAGGCCTTGCGCAGAACACGTTCGCAAAGTATGCTGGACGAATGCGCAAGATAATAGCGAAATGTCCATTGAGAATATATTTCAGATGCGCATTTCTAGATTCGGGGCCACTCGTTGACCGACGGACGAATCGCCTCCTTCTAAGTAGTATCAGTAATCAATACTAATGACCCTTTACCACGACGGCATCAGCGGATACGGCGAAACAAAGAAGCCTGGAGCTAAATAGCCACAAACCTAGGTAGCTTAGAGATAGCATCGCAACTAGAATCTTACAATGCAGATTGTAGCGAAGCGAAATACGCTACCCATACTTTCGGCCAATGCTGTACCTAGTCATGACAAAAATCCAACTATCAGCCCATGGCCTCCGGACTCTCATTAGTTGCGGCATCCTCCATCGCAAACCGATCCTGTATCCCCTTCCAGCCCATCAACACTACATCCGCTGAAACACTACTCTTCCCCAACCTCTTGACAGCCTCTTCTACACTAACCAGCTCACTCTTATACGCCCGCTCTGACTCATCAACGCCAGTACCCTCATGGTGCAACGGCTCGTATCCCTCTGGCTCCAACTTGACTCTTTCCCTCAGCGATAAGCCTCGAGGATATGGCGGGGGAGGTTTATAAGGAGCACCTGCTTCCGTCTCGAGTTCAGCTTCCAGAGATGGTGGAAGCGTCTCTGCAATGTACCAATATAAGACGTATTGCCAGGTTCGCAGGGGCATGAGTTGCATCCATACTGGGTCGGCGGTCAGCGGTGGGGCATGAAGGCGTGGGTGGGCTTGAGGCTGGCGATGCGCGGTAGGCAAGGGGAGGAGGCGATTGCGGTAGCCTGACTGGGTGGGTGTTAGTGTTTGTATAATAATAGCAACGAAGGAAGGTTTGCTTCTTCGTAGCCTTCTCTCTCCGCACCGGTTCCGCTCTCCTCACCAGCATCCCGTCGGCCTTTGGGCAGGAAGTAATATGGAGAGCCGCGGTCCTGTGCACAGCAGATTACCACTCTGCCTGTCGCAATGTGAAAGATAGCTACGCCTCCGCCGACTATAAAGTTGCTGCCAGAGTATTGCGCAATGAGAGGCGGAAATGTGCGCGGAGCCGTTGTATTGCTTGTCATTGTGCTTGTTCTTGTGGCAATTGTGGTGATTGTGAAGGATATGGTACAGGGCCTTTTCGCGCAAGAGGTAAGAACGCCATAGATTCAAGTTATATCATCGCAATCGTGGCTGTGATGTATGACACAGTACCGGTCAAAAGACCACGCGAGATCCACCATGCTGCAGGCTGTGCTGCTCTGCTGTTGCCTAGACTAGGTGCAGATGGTTGGTTGAGTCTTGAGGTTTGGTAGGACAAGGAATGGTAGTTGTACCCCGCTGCGCTAGCAAACTTTTCCTGTGCTGCACAAAATATGGACAATATATTTTATGAATTTACCAAGTCTTCCATCAAAACAGTAACAGCTTACTGGCCTAATGGCCCAATGGCAAGGCGCTTGACTACGATTGTTTCCGAAATCAAGAGATTCCAGGTTCGACCCCTGGTTAGGTCATGTTTTTTCCTTTTTGGAGTATATGGGTACAATTGGTTTTTGTATATCGTACATGCAGGCTCTCTTTCAATTAAAATAGCCAGATGACCTAGCAGCAGTAATATCGTTGGGTTTATTCTCTAATTCACTATAGTGCAACTTGATGCTGGTTATTTTGCATATTACGTAAGTAAGGCTTGTTTACATAAGTTATACAACTATCAAGGTCTACTAAAGAATACCTGTAGCCATTACAGTAAGCTATAAATTGTCTGAAGATTTATTAAATGGTACGTTGTATAGATACTACGATATCATGTCTGTGCTAACCTTAAAGCGGCCTCAAGAAACGAGGAGAACGAAGATGAGAAAGACCAGAAGAAAACGAAGACAGACTCTGAAGTTAATAGCGACGAAGAAGAATATCCTGATAGTAAGTCGTTATTGAGTGCCAAATGGAAGTGTGTAAAGGGTGAAGTGATCAAGATCGTGAACAGCGTTGAATCAGATGCCTCTCGTACACTCGTGAAATCCAGATATCCCTGGCAGCGTAGATGTCTCCTCAGTACACTAGAATATCATTAAGCACCACTACAAACCATACCTAGGTAATATTTGTAAAAGCTCTAAGCGCACTGCTAGCTCACCTTATAATTTAGTAAGGAGTTCGTGTCAAATGTAGAGTATCTTGAGCAGACTGTAAATTGCGTGCACATATCTAACGGACATCTAAGTATCTCAAGTGCATGAGAAAATGCACATATACAAGCCTGCCGGCAAGTACTAGCACCTGCCGTCGAGCCAAGGAGAACTCTCTGAGCTATCTGAACGCCATTACAAACCGCTATATGGGTATTTCGCTTCCAGCATTACTTCTCTACTAACTTCGAGAAGATAGTGGATGGCCAGGCGACAGTAGGTCTGTCTAAGCGTCAGATCAAAGGCTGCGACCAATGCTTCGACATCGAAGACATGGAAGCGGTTGAGACGTACATGCCGCTCGAGGAAAGCGTAGATATGGATAAATACGGGTAGAAGATTCCTCTAAATTAGTTGATGGAGCTATAATTTTTTCAGAGCATCAAGGCTAAGTTACTGCAAAGCGCCTGGACGATTACACGATGGATGATGTTCTCACATAGTTGAAGAGCTTGTTAAACCCCGGTAACTGATACTAGAGCGCTATGGAGTGGTATGCTCTCGGTCAACTGAATTGTCTGGGTATCCAACAGCGTTAACATTCCTTGATAGCCCGTAATACTTTAAGTTATACTACGAAACATCTGTAGCTATTACAGTAGGCTGTTATTTCCCGGAGACCTTAAATAGTACATTGGATATCTGTACGGGTTATTATGTCTATCCTAAGTTGCACGTATACCCAGCTGACGGATGTCTAGCTCTTTTCATTATCCAAGGTACAGAGACATGAACACGATGGGACTTTTACCTAAGAGTGCTCTGCTTCTACAAAAGCTCTACACGTCACTACCAAAGTTGATAACATGTACAGGAGCAGAATCGGTTCACCGTTCGCAGCACTAAAGCATAAATACAAACACCTAACGACCAGTAAGCCATCGCAACACGCGAGTCGTGAGTTCTTCAGAGTGCATCCTGAAGAAACATAAGTACGAGATCAACAAAACTGCACAATTACCACAGGATCCAAGACTATACCAATGAAAATAGAACTAAAATCCAAACTATCACGCCACACTATGGCGGCTACAGAACAGAAACCGAGCAAGACGAGAACTATCCCGCGATACTTGGTAAAGTCCAATTTGGACGTGGCTTAATTTATTTTACATGGAAGGTTGTTGGACATTGGGAAGAGCGAACGGGTGGAAAGCAGATGAGCTGGAGAGGGAAAAGTAACAGCGCGATAATGTGATATTATGGTGAGAGCGATGGAAAGGTGAGATGGCCTTGCATTGGAGCTTTAGTTATCGCTCACCATACTCGACTCTCCTCCGATAAAGACACCCCAGAAGTAAGCATCAGCTTGAACAATCCAGCCACAAAAGTTACCAAGCACCCAACAATCCTCCGAATCCCATCACCCCCCCCCAAAAAATACAAATGTGCAACACAAGTCAATCTCACTGATAAGCAACAAACACACACAGAGTCCAATGGGAGCCCAACAGCCAACAAATCTCACATGACAAAAACAACCTACACCCCCCTCCCAAAATACATCCCTCGGCCCCGGCACACCCACGGCAAGCCGAGAACACTCACCACACGGTACACGGTACATGCACTAACGGCCCGGCTAACCACCTCGCCCACCAACACAGTACACACCCGCCCCAACATAGCATACCCTGCTCAGCCGTCTAAGCAGCCGAGACCGCACACCAGCCCACAAACCCCCCCTTATCAAGCCTGTAAATCCGTATCATCACTATACACACGGCTCCGAAGAAGAAAAACCGGCCTAGGGCTTCCGCACTCCGGTGACTGGGATCTTCTACATATAATGCACAGGGCAGGACAGAGCAGGGTAGGGCAGAACAAGGCAGGGCAGGGCAGGGCAGGCATCAGGGAACGACGAGTCCAAGTACATACGCAGACGCAGGTGCATGAACGGTGCGTGCACTCAAAGCAATGACATACTATGTATGCATGTCATTATTCCACCGTTTTCTTACTCTAGTCCCTTGGGCGTTGCAGGGGCGTACTGTACTGTACTATTTCCACAATGTAGATTACATAAAGTAGCGCGGGAACCTCTCTGTGAGAGATTGTGGGGTTTTAATTGGTGGGGGAATTTGCAATTGTGTGGCTCGCATACTATGTACAGCCCTGAAGTGGTATGGCGGGTGTGCATTGCATAATAGTCATGTGATTTATCTGACTGCCTGCAGTGACCACACCCCCTGACGTATGTGAGGTTGTTCCTGCTCGCCAGCTCCGCAGAGTAAAACGCATTACTGTTAGCATCTAATTGCGATCGAGACACAAGCAATACACTGAATTGCGCCCAAATGTAATCAAAAGGATGCGCGAGTGGGTTTTTGTGTGTGTGCGCAAAAGCTGGCTGGGCTTGGTTAGCTGACGACGCCAGGTTGCCTGGCTGTCTCTGCCCAAGACGGCCCGACGCCCTGGCACAAGTTGGCTGCAACTGCAAGCTGCAGCCCTACGCTTTGATAAATGCGTAAATGACATTCTTCCAGAAGCCCGTTCGCACATCAAACGTGAAACAAAATGACGCTCCCATATTAAGCATAGCACACTGCCGTCCCCTCACCCACTCAAAGGATAAAGCCTGCGTCGTAGTCAGCCCGTTGCAATTTGTCAAAGACAGGCTGCATCACCCTCTGCGACAACGCATGAAGTGCATGTCTCGTTCGGATTTCACCTGTCTGGTGTTTGACATCAGCTTTGAAGATCACGGCGTTTCATCTCACAACGTTCTGCTAGCGCTGCCCTCGTCCCTTTGTTAGCGTTGAAACATGACGAATTTCCCCATCTGGAAGCAAGTTTGTGGACTTGGCAGCAACGCGTAGAGGGAGCAGGTCAAGCTAAGTTTTCGCGTGGAAGCGCTGCCGCGGTCGAGCAAGCGTGACGCATGAAGTGCGCGACCAGAAGTTGGGCGCGAATAGGGCTAGCGTTGCGGACTTTCTGTCCGCGACACAATGAAGGTGGCAGGGAAATGAAGATTTGCGAGTCGTATCGCGAGTCGTGCAACTTTTAGGCGGGATTATCGAGGCCACATATAAGGCTGAAGAAGACTTTCCAGAAGGGTCCCAGTAGAAAGGGGCTGCTGTCAGTGCTTTGAAGCGACAAAAAAAATAACTCCCAGGGTCAAGGATTACGGCGCAGTGAATTATTACGTGATCGATAATAGTTGTCGCAGTTTGCGAGTTCTACTCTCCGGACCGTGGCTCAGTGGACGTAGCCTTTGGGAAACTGCCGATAGATGCGAACGGTTTGAGAGATGGGTGACAGGGAGTGAAGTGTGTGTAGAATGTTTGCTGTGTCATTTGGCTCTAAAATAGAAGTGATTTTGTTGGTGGTGCATGCGCGCACTCGCCTCCCGCCTCGTTTCTCGTAGGTACGCCCTGCGATGGTCACAATCGTGACCATGGTTTCAAACGGTACGCCTGTCTGTCATGACTCTGACGATGGAGCCAGGACCAGCTATTTCGACGAGCTGGCTGACGGTTAGCATGACGAGATAAGAACAATAAAAGCAGCGAGAAACATGGAGATATTCGTAAGTCGTACCTTCTCGTGCCAGCTGAGTAACACACTCATTGCCTGACCGCCACCCTCACCTCCGCCGCGAGTGTGAACTTGTGAGAAACCTGTGGGCTGAGGAGTGATGTTGCGTGTGCTGCTGACTTCGGTTGCATGTGCCATGCCTTTGTAGCTGTAGAGTGATGGACGTTAGTGAGACATGCAACATAGTGTGTTTGGTTATAAACGGGGACGGTTGCTAAGATTGCATCCTTATGTGGTTGTGTGGCAACATGTGGCAAGTGCTCCCCCATGTCACAGGAGAAAACGTACATGTACTTCATCAGTACGTCCAATGCCTCTGTACCACCCGGAGCACCATATATCCGGCCGAGTATTGGTGACATGTCTGACTGGCGTATGGATTGTAGGATTTCGGTAACAATGGCGAGGTAGGCCTCCTAAAGATAGTAAGACATGTCAGCCTTATGTCCCTTTGCAGGTGTTTGTGTGATGGGCGAAGACCGGTCCTGGTAATCGGTGACCCACGTCCAGAGGCGCGATCGCAAGGGTAACCACAGGTGGTCCGAATGCGGAGAGACAGTCGATAGTAGACAATAGTGTATTCCTGCTACGGCCAGGGCCGGTGACGGTATGCTTCGAGCTGGTGGCAGGGTGGCAGGCCGCAACGTACCTTGCCCTTCTCATCACCTCCATAGGGTGGGTTCTCCAGGGCGCTCTGCAGCGCCCCCTCGTTATCCCCCCCTCTCAGCAGCTGCCGTATTTGCTGTGCAGTGTTCTGGACATCGGCGGTGGATATGGGTGTGACG